GTTTGAATATCACCGAAAGAGGAGACCTTTCTTTGTTCCTTACGAAAATCGAACCAGATATCAAATATTTAGTCTTGCAGCATCAACCTCAAGGATCTTATTAATCACAAGTAAAGGTAATTTCAATTTACTTTGTTTTCTCATTAAACTTTATAAAGTTAAAAACATTATAAACATGCATTAAGTAGAAATAAAAAGATAAATGTACGTACATTTATTTATTTTTTTAAAACACCCTCCTTTCTAAAATATATTCCGCACTTGCACGAAAACTGGTGGGCGGTAAGGAAATTTTTCCATCAATAAAGATGCATTAGTGGGCGGTAGGTAGAAAAAGGTTGACTACCACTGGTCTAGAGGATGACACCCATTAAAGCGACACTCCAGGCACCAAGACCACATCTGCCCATTGGAGTGGTCTGGGTGCTAACTCCCACTACCCTTAACCCTGCAACTGTAATTATTGCAGTTTTCATAAACTTCAATAATTACCTTGCAGGGTTAACTCCTCCTCTAGTGACTGTCTACTAGACAGCCATTAGAGGGCACTTCCTGGTCCATAGCACAGAAAACCTGTGCTATATCGTCGCTGGACGTCCTCATGCTGTGTGAGGACCTCCATCGTCTCTAAAATCCCCATAGGAAAGCATTGAAAAGCATTTTCAATGCTTTCCTATGGAGAGGTCTAATGCGCATGCGCGGCATTGCCGCACATGCGCATTAGGTCTCCTCAGCCGGCGGGAGGGATCAGTCTCCCCCACCGGCTGATGCGATGAAGAGGAGGAGCGGCGGCGGAGGAAGAAGCAGCGATGTGGGACATGTTGCTGCCTCTGGTAAGTGACTGAAGGGGTTTTCACTCCTTCAGCAACCGGGGATGGGAGGTGAGAGGGTACCTGCAGTAGTCCGTTTCCTTGGCACTGGAGATTCCCTTTAAGTAAATGTATTCCACACTAGAACCGGTGTAGCAGCAATGGTAGACAACTCACAGCATGACTGTCAGCAGCAGAGATTATTCAGAAGGTTTAACCTAAAACAAATCGTGACATTTTCCAAAGTGCCAATTTCCCATCTTTGCTTTCTCCCAAGAAAAGGAAGGCTCTCCATCTTTACAATATTTAAATTCCCAAATGCTCCCCTAACAGAGTCAAATGACTCTAGTCTTTCAAATCTAAGCTTTTATTTGGATCTATCTTGGTTCCCCCTCCAATAACACTGAATCATCTACTCTGCATCCACAGCAGTCATAACATCTCATACCACTTGTCTGGCTTTCTTCTTACTTGTCCGGAAGGATGGCTCTCTTTGACAGACATATCTAAGACAAGTGCCTGTAGGTCTACATCTAGGCAGGCATAAAACAGTGATTAGTCCGGCTGAGCTGGGTGGATATACAGCTACAGTTACTGGTTTCCACAGACCATTAACATAAGGTTTTAGATATTATGCTAGCAGTCCCTCTTCTAATGTGTTTGCCTTGCATCTGAATAATATTATATTAAAATTGACTAGTGATATGCAATATTTTCCATATTGAACAGATTGTATATTGTAAACTAAAAAAAACGTTGCTGTTTTTTTTAGGTCTAATCCTGAACTAAACAAAACAAAAAACAGCAAATGCTATATTGAGCAACGTTGGTCATTGAGCATTGCATCTGGGTCCGTACAACGTAAGCCCCAATCGATCTCTCAACTACAAGACATGGTTCGAGCAAAATTTATATTTCACTTTACTAGATTATTTGTAAATTATAAATCTAAAAGCGTATATTTCTAAAACTTATTAGACTTGAGTGATTTTATTTTATTTTTTTAACTGGTTCCCAAGGGGTCCATTATTTCCTCATTACTATCTATCCTGTAATCAATATCCAAAATTCACATTACCACACTAACTCTGCAAATAATAATCTGCATTACAAAAAACCTTGGTGTGACGATCTGTAGACTGGCGTTTTGTTTTATTTGGGTAGAGGAGACTGCAATACATTTTACAGTAATGAAAATGGTATCTAACTTTTTTTAAATCTCATTTACCAGAATTGAGGAGGTATACAAGTTCACACCCAGCACCTGCCTGGACGGAATTAGGGGGCTTTAGTTGTAGAGTTTCCCATAGGTTTCATCATGATGTGACACACACAAAAGATAGGACAGCGAGTTAAAGTTCACACATTGCAAATAGAAGCGTGGCGCCGGTGGTAGGCAGGCGTCAGGCAGACTGGGTGTAAGCATTGAAGAGAATAACTAGATGCTGGTACTACTCATTAACCATTTCAGCTTCTTAACTTGCAACATACACCACAGATGGGAGCAAAGGAAAGAAATATAGTTTATCAATGTAAAAAGAATAAATAAAAGGAGCCCTAATAATTTAATAAATAAAAATATATACATTGTAAATATCTGCTGGTTCCATTTTCTCACTCAATTGTTCCTGTCTGTTCAAAGTAGAAGCAAGCAATGATATTCAATAAAAGGGGAATTGTTGAGAATTAACCAGCATTTTAAACTTTCGGCTACAACAGGCAAATTCGTCAATTTTCCCCCAGCCTAGCTATTTCGACTTCAAGTGTGGAATACGCAGTTTAGTGAATAACTCTGCAAATGTAATACACAGTACCTATTTATCTTCAATTGCTCCAAGAAAAATAATTGGTTTCATACTGAAGCAATAAAGCAGACGTTACCCAGATAGATTAACAGCGTTATTCACTAACATGGGAGTTGTTGAAAATTTAAAGTCAATTACAAATTTATAACAAAGTAGCCGAAATTGAAGGATTGCTTAAATGTTTCTAGTTCAACTATTTTGCCCTTAAATTTGAAATTCACTTTGAATTCCCAGTTCTCACTTTAGTGAAAACCCTGCTGATGAATCTAGAAAGAAAATGATGATCTCTCTTCCGATCACTTACACTGATCAACCACAACATTAAAACCATCTGCCTAGTGTCGTGTAGGTCCCCTCGTGCTGCCAAAACAGCTCTGATGCATCGAGGCAAGGGCCTGTGGTATCTTGCACCCAGACATTAGCAGCAGATCTTTTATGTACTGCAAGTTGTGAGGTGGGCCTCTATGGATAGCATTTGTAGTTTCAGCACATCCCACAGATGCTCAATAGGAATGTGATCCAGGGAATTTGGAGGCCAAGGCAACACCTGGAACTAAAAACATTTTTTGCAGTGTGCATTATCTTGTTGAAGGAGGCCACTGCCATCAGGTAACACCATTGCCCTGAAGGGATGTATGTGGTCTGCAACAATCTCTAGGTAAATGCCAAAGTAACATCCACATGAATGCCAGGACCCAAGATTTTCTAGCAGAACATTGTCCAGAGCTTAACACTGCTTTCTTCCCGCAGTGTATCCTGCTGCCATCTTATCCCCAGGTAAACGACACACACAGCCATTCACCTGATTCATCAGACTAGACAACCTTCTTCCATTACTCCATGGTCCACTTCTGATGCTCATGTTTCAAATGTAGGTGCTTTTGGCAGTGGACAGGGATCATGATGAACATTTTGACAGATCTGTGGCTGCACAGTCCAACAAGCAGCAAACTGCAGTGCACTGTGTTCTGACATCCTTCTGTCGTGACCAGCATTACATTTTTCAGAAATCTGAGCTACAGTAGCTCTTCTGTGTTCAGACCAGCTTTCGCTCCCCACATGCATCAATGAGCCTTGTGCGCCCATAATCCTAGTGCGTCTGCTCTTCCTTGTTCCACTATTGTTAGGTACTAATCACTACATACTGGGAACACCCCACAAGGCTTGCCGTTTTGAAGAAGCTCTAACAGTCGTCTAGCCCTCATTATTTGGCTCTTGTCAAAAACAATGCTTGCCCATTTTTCCTGCTTCCATCACATGAAATGCAAGAACGTTTTACTTGCTCCCCAATATATCCATACATGTTTTTCACTTCAGCGGTTTTAATGTGTCTGATCAGTGCATACTTTGTCTCTGCAGCAACTAGTCAAGTAACATTTTTAACTAACCAGATAAGAGGTTTAAAGGGACAGTAAAAAATTAGAAACATGCAGGTTTTTTTTCTAACATTGCGTCCCAGGCCTAGAAGCACACTAAACCTGGACTCTTGGGGACAGAGTTGAGAAGCAGTAGCTTAAAGTGAACATGTATTGAAACATTTTCCTTACCTTACATTGGCTCTAAATACATCATGTGCCACATAAATGCACAATGTAGTCAATGTAAAATATCGAGATCTAGTCACCTCCCAACTTTTCCAGTGCTTCCATCTTTAGAGCCATCTACTCTTTGTGTAAGACCTCCAGTCTTCTGTGATGTGCAAGGGAACACTTCTCAAGCAGGGAAACCCTCCTGTGTAACACCAACGCATTCGTGGCCAGCATCTGAATGGCGTGACATTAGTCACTAAATTCCTATACTCCCTTGCTAGCCGCATCAACTAGAAAGTTTCCGTAGCAACCACAGCACAAGCACAGTGGTTGCTATGCTTGGGAGAGCAAAAGAAGGGAACATGAAACAAACGAGACTGCTTGCTCATTGTCTGTTTTGGAGTTTGGAAGAATCGCAGATCACCTAAAATTCATATGTATTACATATCTGGAGAAATCAAATGCACAAGTCTAGACAAGTATATGAAATACATAGTGAACTAATGACAGAATCCGTCTGGTCGTATGAGATAAGTCTGTGGGAAAGTCCAATATAAATGTGTACCTTGACATCAGGTGTTCAAAATACAAAGACAAAACAAATTTTTAAATCGTAATAAAAATACTGGTTATGTTGCACCTCCATTTGTTGTGGTTGTGCATTTTCTTACCATAATCAGAACCATTACATCAAACACAATCCTACTCCTGAAGTTATCAAAATAAATTAAATTGACTACCAAGGCCGTCCTGAGTGTCTTCACTGAACACCAAACAGACGGCTGGCGTCACGACAATACCGGTGACTGGTCTTAGAATCAGTCCTTAATGAAATATAATAAAATGAAACAATTCACCAAGGATGTGGGCTAAACAAATCAAAAAATTAAACAAGGTTTACAGAATATTTTCAAAAACTGTCACTTTATTGGGAAGCTGAAACCTTAAATTTAGAAAGCATTCTCTTATCATAAACAGTCTGCATCGTGTGGCCTAGAACTATATTACAGAAGGTGGAACATTCATTGTTTCTTGAGTTAGAGAATCTGTACTGAGCTTAGAATACTAGGAATTTAAAGGTGTAGGAACACTGGAAAAATACAAGAAACATGTTCATTTATTTGCATTGAGTACACTCCAAGCCAGCATCTATGGAGCCTCTTAAATTTGTTCTTACCGAAAATGCATAAGTAGCCTAGTCTGACCAGATCTAAATTTGCAAAATTAAATAGGCGTGACAAATTAAACATTCATAAGATATGAATACTCAAAGTATGCCAGCTGTTCTATTAAAATACATTTAGAGATGCTGGCTGGTAGAGACATCTTTTGTGCAGTGAAAAACTGTTGGGGAAAACAATGGGTAGCTCTCTGCCAATGACAATAGTCAAAATAGGTGCAGGAAGGGCTGGAGAAACCCAAAACAGAGCTAGGAGACTGGCCTCGATCTTTGGTGGCAGTGTCTGAACATCCAGCTAGAGTGACATTTGCATGTATTGTTCTAGCAGATAAATTTTTTTTAAAAAGCAGTTCTGTCATTGGATAGGTTGTGCTATAGAAAAAAACTAAAATATGATATTAATGAATAATAAAATACAATTATCATGAGGCTTTTTATCTCATATTTACGTAGCTAGAATGTATCGCTCAGCCACATGACTGCTTCTAGAAATTGTGAACTTGTCACTTGACAATAGCACTGCTCGTACTCCTACCTCTCTATTGTGGTGTGTGCAGACAAGAAAAAAAACAGTGGCAGAATTGTGGAAGCAGTTTTTATTTTGAGGATATGTCTTTTATCCACTAATGGCTTCTTTATGGTAATTTCATAGTTCTAGCCGTTGCAGAAAAAAAGTAGTAGGCACTTCTGGATTCCTGGTGCCCAGGGTCCTTGCTATTGGCCAAATTACTGTTCCTCTCTTTCTGGGCAGAACTGAACAAGGATAGCAATTAGTCTAGATAAAATCCATAGAAATAAACTGTAAACACTTTTGAAAGTTTTTTGGAGGGGGATGAGGAGAGAATAAAGCGTGTAACTGAGTTGTGGCACCATATACAATATAAAAAATATTGATAAATAGCAAGGCATTTGACATAGTATTCTTTATGGAAAAGCCAGCATCATGCAATTAAAATCCATTCAATATGAAAAAGTGATCAGTACACAGTCCTAATCTGTACTATTGCTATTCATTATGTTTTGGTAGAAAAAAATCTTACCGTCTCATCAGATTTTTCAACCACTCAATAGTTTTGTCTTAAACTTATTATTGGTTATAAACTTCCTGTTTGATAAATAAACTCAAGTGGGCAATCCAAACTTTCCAGCCATGAAGTGCAAGCCATATTAATAACAGCTGGACTTTATTTGGAGGTGTACCCAAACAATTAAAGTGTACCCTTCAGAACATTATTTTAAAAATAAAACTAAATTATCACAAAACAACTTGTTTCTCCTCTCCCAATATCTTACTTAACAACAAAGCCTTCAGGTCAAACCAAGGCTTCCTTGGAGTTGGAGAGCCTAAATAAATGTTAGAGCATCAAATACCAGGGGGGGTTCTGATTCTAGGAATGATGTGCTCAAACACTGGAATTTAGGGCAAAGAAGACTTCTGCAGGCGACTGATAAGTTATTCCAAGTGAAAACACTGGATGTACCATGGCCCAACAGAAAGGCAAGATCACTCTGAATGATGGCTTACAGTCCAAAGCAGTTAAATGTTCCCATCACTAGGTGCAACTGGTGGGAGGGTGATATAAAATCAAAGTAAACTATTCCCATTTCCATATTGATATTTTACAGCTTCACACTGTGAAACAGAGTGGAGCCTGTTTATTTGGCATTCAGGTGCTCTTAATACAATGAAGGAACATGGAACCATTGATGGGTTGGACAGGTCAGTCTGACAGTGAAAAAACAATTGCTATTGTGATATGCAAGGCTGTTGTATGGTAATTTCTCCAAGAAATATGACAAAGATGGCATTACCTTGGAGATAAGTAGAACTAGCTATAATTCCACAAGATGATTGTGTACAGAATGGCCTTTTTGCCAGCTGACTTCAAGAGGAATTTATCATGACAGTAAAATTAGGAGGACACCAGATCAGGGGCAACAATTCAATGCAATAGGTATGATCTCTTGATCCATTTAAAATACACAGTCTGAGCTCTCCCTGGATTCTAGAACAGAGCACACAGATGCAGAGACAGAGGATTACTTACAATTATCATTATATGCACAGCCGTCTCCTTGGTCTCTGTTAATAGGAATGCAGAAAGTTATGGTTTAATAGAAATGTAAATCTGGATGGACATCCTCCCATGGTGCCTGGGGACCCTATGACATAGCCTACATGACAGTTTGTATAGTACACAAACAGGACTGAATCTGATTGCTGTAAGTAAAAGGTGCCGGTGTGATCATTTGAGTTACCTAATGTCTGTAAGATACATAAACATCTTAGTGCCAGAGCTATGAGCAACATTTAAATAGAGCTTGATGCATTCCTGACAGTCAATTATTTTAACACATTTTCCTTTTTCAACAGCAAATCACAATCAACAAGTTCAATTAATTTAAATTCAGAACTGACAGTTAATCATCAGTGGCAGATGAACCAACAGTCCCATATTTCTAAGCTCATTTGGAAATTGTGGGAGTTTAATTTCCTCCTGGCGA